AGCTAAAGTTTTATCATTTCAAAACTAATTCTTGATTTGGTTGATAGTTACTATAGTTTTTCCAGTCTGTGTTTTGGTTTTTTTTCTGATCTTTATTTCTTTCCTTCTGCAAACTTTGGGCTTATTTCACTCTTCTTTTCCTAATTCTATAAGTACAACATTAGGTTTGCTATTAGAAAGCAATCCTTTTCTTTTTTAAATTTTTTTTATTTTTTTCCCTTTTCTTTTATATAGGTAATTTTTACTAAAATCTTAGAACTGCTTTTGCTGCATTCTGCTTCATATGCCACATTTTGATTTTAGTTTATTTCTAGATACTTTTTATTTTCTCTTTTAATTTCTTTCTTGATTCATGTGTTGTCTTGGAACATGTTTAAATTCTACATGTCTGTAAATTTTGCAAAATTCTTCCTATGGTTCATTTCTAATTTCATACCCTAATGATCATAAAAGATACTTTATATGACTGGATTTAGTTTTCTGTCATTCTGTTGAGGTTGTTTGCATCCATGTTCATCAAAGATATTGATCTGTGATTTTCTTTTTTTCTAGTGTGCTTCTGTGGCTTTGGTATCAGGGTAGTGTTGGCCTCTTAAATGAAGTTGGAGTTTCCCATCTTCAGTTTTCCTTCTTTCATATTTTGAAGGAGTTTGAGAAAGATTAAAATGTTTGGTACAATTTAGCATTCCTGGTCATATATCCATACAAAATGAATCAGTACATCAAAAAGATATCTGCACTCCCGTGTTCACTGTAGCTCTATACACAGTCGCTGAGAAATGTAAACCTCAGTTGATGAATGATAAAGAAAATGTGGTACGTAAACATAAGTGGAACAATACTCAGCTGTAAAAAAGGAATCAAGTCCTGTTATTTTCTCTCTCTCTCTCTTTTTTTTTTTTTTTTTTTTTTTGTCTTTTTGAGAGAAGTTCTCACTATGCAGTTCAGGCTAGTCTTAAACTCACTTTGTAGCCCAGGTTGGCCTCAAACTCGCAATGAGCCTCCTGCCTCAGCCTCTTGAGTGCTGGGATTACAGGCATGCATCACTGTGCCTGGCTGAAATCCTGTTACTTTCAGCAACATGGATAGAACTGGAGATCAATGTGTTTAGTGAAGTAAGCTAGACACAGAAAGACAAGTATGGCAGGATATAGAGAGACTCTTAAAAAGTAGACCAGAGAAGAACAATGGAAGAGTGGAGGCCTGGGGGAGCAGAAGAGAGAAAGTGTAATGACCACTGAAGTAGTATATTGGTACATCTATTACTTAAGGTGTTACCACCATTTGAGCTTCATGGCTCCTCGCTGTCTATGAGCACTTTCGTGCAGAGCCCATCAGTGTCCTTCTTTGAGATTACATCTTGGGTAACTGGACCCAGAGATCCCTTTAAGAAAGGCTTGCCCAGATTTTCCAGGAATTAGTCCTCTCTTCCCACTTTATTTTCATCATTCCGTCTGTTAGTAAATAATTGCTGTCTTGGCTGTAGCTGCTATCACTACCCCATACCTAGTAATTTGTCAGTTAACATTCAAATTCTATTGTGGGCCAATTGCCTGGGCCTGAGGAGATTTAATGAAGTTTTACAGCCCTTAACTGTGACATGAATCTAGAAATATTAGTCTTGTTAAAAATTTCGTCTAGTGTCCTCACTCCATCAATGGTGACTTTCAGGACCACCAAAGTGGTTTGGGGGCTGCTATATTACCTGTAAAAGTGATCTAAAATGTTTCTCAGGGGAGGAAACTCACGATGGGCCATGCTTTAGGAGCTCATCTAGTACCCATCTAAGGAAGGATAGAGTCTATTTTTGCTTTTTTCTTCTCCCTTTTTCTTGGGCAACATAGCTGCTGTCAAGGCTTTCCAAAGAAAGAGTTCTACATTAAAAAGTCATATAAACCAGGTTTAGTGATGCACGCCTGTAATCCTAGCACTCAGGAGGCTGAGGCAGGAGGGTCATTGTGAGTTTGAGACCAGCCTGGGCTACAAAGTGAGCTCAAGGCCAGCCTGAACTGCATAGCAAGACCCCGTCTCAAAAAGACAAAAAAAAGTCACCTAAGACCCAATTTATTTATTTTTATTTCCAGAGATTTGTTTATTTGTTTGCTTATTTTCTTGTTTTTGAGACAAGATATCACTATGTAGGCCAGGTTGGCATCAGATTAGTTATGTGGCCCAAACTGGCCTGAATTAGCGATCTTCCTACATCGGCCTCCTAAGTGCTGGGATTACCTGGCTTCTTGACTGATTTAAAAATATTTTATCATGGAGACCAACTACCCAAGTCTCTTAGATCTTTTTGGATTACTAAGAAAATTGATCCTCAGGATTCTATACTGTTTTCCATTATAGCAATAATATCAATAAGTTAGCATCATAAACTGACCATAAATAATGAGATACTTAAACCTAGCAGTAATCACTGTGTGCAACTCACCGTGTGAAATTAGTTCCCATTGCTGGAGGACCATGAGCAAGAAGCTAAGGTGGTGTTTCCCTCAGTTTCTGGGAACTGATCTGTTGACTTTATGACTTCACCACTTAGGACGCAGGTGTCTTGACCAGTGAAAAGGAAACTAAATAAGAGGACAGTTATTCACACTCATAGCTAATATGTATGTATGTGTGTATGTATATATATATATATATATATATATATGCAATATAGTACCACTCTCAGAGAGCACCACAGTACACAGTAGCAGTTCTTAAGATATATTCCTTAAATGTGGGATATTCCCTGTGGGATCCTCAAAATTATCTAATGGTATCTCTCAAAAGAGCCTTTGGATTTACTAACTCCTCCCAAGTGCTCCTTCCAGAAAGTAGTTTTACCTTAATTAAATTGTTCACTGTGCCAATTTTTCAGAGAGAAAGCTACAAAGTTTTTACTTGGTCAATTATAATAACAAGCTGAATGGAAAGTAACAACTAAGGTTTTATTCATTTATGATAATGTGTATGGGAACCTAAACAGGACACTACTCCGGGTATACCAGTGTCTGTTTTCTCCATGAAACAGCACTAGGCAATAGTCAGATGCATCATTGCAGATGAGAGTGGTGCTTGGAGCAGAATTATCTGACACCTGGAGAACCAAACAGAAAGCTCTTGCCTCTTTATATGATCCTATGAGTCTTACAGAAGTTGGTGGGGGATGGCTAAGATTATTGAAATCCTGAATAATGAATAGAATTTGAGAAATACTTCTTTAAGTTTCCCCAATTAGATGATCTAGGCAGAGGCACCTGAAGAGTACAGCATGTCATAAAGAGTCCTGTGGGGTAGGAATGCAGAATATGTAAGAGCATGGTGTGCAGAGACCTCAGACACTACTGCACCTGCCTCAACGTCTGCAGCTTACTGGCTGTGCATGCAGTCTTTGGTGAGGCATTATCCCACCAGCAAGGACTTTGCCCAAGGTTGGGCCTGAAAGACCAAAGGATTTTGGCTTGAAATTGGGCTGCATACATTTATGCACACATACATATACATATTTATCTGTATATATACACATATACATATATAAATATATGCATACATATTTATATGTGTATATATACACATATATACACATGCACATACATCTATGTATATGCACACATATATGCACATATATTTGTATGCATATATGCACATATATACATATTTATATGCATATATACATATACATATTTATATGTGTATATACACATACACATATTTATATGTGTATATATACACATATACATATCATACATATTTATGTGCATATATACATATACATACATACACATGTGTGTACATGTATATGTGTATACATACATGCACACATATACACATGCATATACATGTATGTATATGTGCATGCATGCACACATATACATGTGTATATGTACATGCATACATGTACATATTTATCTGTATATATACATGCATACATTTACATATTTATATGACTATATACACATAGATATGTAATGTATACATATATGTATATATTTATGTGTATATAAACATACATGCATGCACACATGTATATATATGTGTATGCACATGCATATACATATTTATATGTGCATATACTCATACATATGTACATATTTATGTGTATACATATATGCATACACATATTTATATGCATATATATGCACGTACATATGCTTGTATACAAGAATATATATATGCATAGACATATTTAGAAACCCAGGTTCACACAGATAAGTTTAATTCCAGTGTTTCCCCTCAGGGATTCTTACTTTTCTCTGCTTCATATGCTCATTCTACAAAGTGAAACTGACTTTTAATTTTTAAGATAAGTGGAACATTGCATCTGCCTCTGAAACTAAATACATGGAAAGGTGTACATCTCCAGAGGAGAATCATTTCCTCCCCCAATATTTTATTCCTTGCCTTGTGCATAACAAACCACACTGTTTTTTATATGCTTGCTCTTTTCTTTTACAAGGGAAGATACTCTGCCTCTCTTTCCTTCTTTCTCCCTCTCCGTTTCTCCCCCTTTGCATTTGCCTTTTTTAACCAGGAGGAATCATACCTTTACCCCTGTTATCTCCTGATACCTCCTCTAATTTAGTTTATAGAGCCCTTTATTGCATTACCAGAATTTGAAGTATATCAGAGATTATAATTTATTTTAATTCCCCATGTTTGAGAATTTTTATCATTTGGATATTTTGTCATTACAGAGAATACTATGATATCAACCTTGTACATACATATTTTCAGTGCTTGTCCCATTATTTACATTTATTAAACTATATATATTAATACAGCAATAAAACTAGAGACTAATATAATTAGTGTAGTAAACGAATTAAGAAGATAACTTCAATATTTACCTGTTAAAACTCCTCTATCATATTTCTGTCAGACCTCACATTAATTTATTTAAAACTTCATGTGAGAAAAAGGCTGCTGTATATTTGTTATAAATTTGCAACTTAGGTATTTCATAATAGATCTGTTTTTTCCATTTAGTGCACTAAATGCATCTCTTTATGTAGCTCAGAATGAAGAATCAGAGAACAATTTTATGCTTGAACATCAAGATTTAGAAGCAGAAATGAAAGTAAAAGAACAAAAAACTTCGGAAACAGAAAGTCTTACTAGTAAGTGTAACACGGACAGTATTGCCTTATTTTCAATTAAGCTCATTTTGGATCATTTTCCTATTCTCATAAATATGTATTTAAGTAAATATTTCATACAAATTATAAAGTTTGATCTAAAGTGAGACATAGAGGCACTAAGCATTGATACTTAGGTAGGTTTACTCTCCCATATATCCAGTGAAAACTGTCCTAGCAACTCCCATCAGATATTAAGGATTTATATGAGTGGAGGTTTACATGTATAGTTGATCTATTTTAATAACATATATCTTATTGGAGCTATAATAATGAAGTTTCTGGTGCCTGAATGGGCATACCTATAGTAGGTTCTGGGTAAAAGTCCACAGTAGACCCCAAACCAGTGAGATTGATTGTATTTCTCCCTTATGCTGGTAACAGGGTTTGTGGAGATCACAGTTGTATATGTACCATAACCAAAATACTTTCCAAATGTGATTCTTCCCTGCTTCACCATTAAACTCTGAGCTTAGTATTGGGCCTCATGTTCCCACTGGGGAACAGGGATCTGATCTAACTCATAGGCTGTTCACTTTTTTAAAAGCAAATAGTTCTAAATAAAGAACTTTCAGGTTTATATCAATATTCAGTGAACCGGGCATGGTGGCACATGCCTGTAATCCCAGCACTCGGAGGCCTGAAGCAGGAGGACTGTTGCAAGTTCGAGACCAACCTGGGCTACAAAGTGAGCTCAAGGCCAGCCTGAACTGCATAGTGAGACCCTGTCTCAAAAAAAAAAAAAAAAAAAAGAAAAGAAAAGAAAAGAAAAAGAAAATTCAATGGTAAGAGCTAAACGATAGAAGTTGTGTTAGTGGTAGGAATTATTACTGTGTAAACCCAATTCCAGCCATTTTTGGGGATCCTTTCATCTAGTACAAGGCTATGAAATCCTTAGTAGAGAATCCATCAAGCCACTTCATTGCAATTCCATTGTTGAGTTCTCACCTATAGATCTTGTTGAGAAGGCCTTTGGCTAGATTGTCTAGATGTGGATGTCTAGCGACTGTTGTTTACATTACATTTCTTGCTAGTCAACCATTGCTTCCTGGCAGTAGTTGCTACTCTGTATTTGTTAATATCCAAATTATGTCAGGCCCAGTGTCCTGACTTTATGAGGAGGTTTAGTTGATTCATGCCAGCAAGGGTTGCATGAACAAATTTACAAATCTGCATAGTGAGACCCTATCTCAAAAAGACAAAAAAAAATGTTTTATTTATTTTCCTTTGGAACAGTAGTAGGTAAGATTCCGATATATTTGTGCAGAGTGCTCAAGGGAGTAAGTCTGGTTTAAAGTCTCTTCTACTTCCTCGCTCCATCAGTGTAGACTTTAAGATCACTTGCAAGGATAGTCTAAACATGTTGTTCAACAGCAGGAAACTCATTGTGGGTAGCTCCAGCTGTCATAAACAGAAGAATACCCAGTGGAGGAAAGAAAGGGTCTCAAATGGTTCCTGTTATTATTCATTTCTTTTTTTCCACCTCCTTGAGCAGCACGGCCACTCTCAAGACTGAAAAAAGAGATGTGTAGTGATTAATCCCACAATATTCCTCTCTAATTCACTAAATTTAGTAAGATCTTTTTCTTCAACTTGGAGGAAAACTATCACCTTCTTGTACTTGCTGGGCAAAGTGATTCCATAGCTCTTACTCTTTTTTATTGAAGATAACTCAGCAATTAACTGCATCATAGGCTGTATGTGACACACAGGGAATGCTTAGAGGTAATAATAGTCATAGGCTCAGTGCATAGACTTACCATGACTTCATAGGCCATTTACAGTGGACCATAAATGGTAGCAGCAGATTGTTTCACTAGCTTTCTTGGAGCTTCTCTGGTAAACTTCTAAATTGACTCACCATATTTTAGCATATGAATCTAAAAAGAAGGGTCATCTTTCCCATTCAACACTGGAAAACTTAGTAAACAATAAAACAATAGTCTCCTAGAGCATCCTCTGGCATCTACTACCACTGACTGGACCACACTGGTGTGGTTGATAAAGTATCCAGTGTGACTCAACTTCTTGCAAATGACCTAGAAGCACTTCTACTTTCACCCTACCCAAGTGCCCTGTAAACTCACTGGAGACTCCCAAAGTGTTCCTTCTAGAAATACGCTGTACTTCACTGACTATTTATTGAACTAATTCACAGAGACCGATTTTGGAATTGGCCAAATAAATCAAACTGAAAGTAACAAGCTATTATTCATTTATTGAGATAGTTGCTAGGTAAGAGTTTAAAGAGGAAAAGACTCTGGTTTAACAAATGTTTTGCTGGGCATGGTGGCACATGCCTGTAATCCCAGCACTCAGGAGGCTGAGACAGAAGGACTGTTGTGAGTTTGAGGCCAGCCTGGCCTACAAAGTGAGTTCAAGACCAGCCTGAACTGCATAGTGAGACCCTGTCTCAAAAAGACAAAAAAAAAAAAAGTTTTATTTTTCCTTTGGAGCAGTAGTAGGTAAGATTCCGATATATTTGTTCAGAGTGCTCAAGGGAGTAAGAATTGACTCTGCTGAAGGATCTCCAAAGAGAAAGCTCTTCCTGTTACATAGATTCTGTCTGTGAGAGGTAGTTGTGGGAGAGCTAGGACTGGAAAAGCCAGGAATACTGATAACTATAAAAAGTTTCTTTATGTGTCTCAGCCCTCCTTCCCTTCACTACAGGCTATCTAGGCATTGGCTGTGCAAGAGCAGTACAGCACCTCAGTCAAATCTGCCCTCTCCCATAAGCAGAACTCTAATTGAGGTCCACTGGGCTAAGAATGCAGTATGCCTAAGGGCTTGGTCAGCTGAGGAGGGTCTGAGCCTGAATTTAACTCCCAGGGCCTGCAGGAAAGTGGTTATACATCAAGTCCCTTATAGTTTGGGAATTAGTCCCCATAAGAAGTCCAGGTACTGCCTTTGGGATCGTCCATGATTTGGACCTGAAAAAGCACATGTAAGATTTAGTCAGTAGTTGAACCCCCAGTATGTTCACTTAAGTTCATGTACACAGTTACCTGTGTACCTATATATGTGTATATAAACACACATATGTTCCTACATAGATGTGTTTGGGGTTCATAAAAGTCTTGGACATCTTCAAGGGCTTCAAAGGGATGTAATCCATCCCCTTAGGGCTTGTTTTGCCTTTCTCTAGTTTATGTGTGCGTGTTCTGTCTCCTGCTGTCTTCACACATTTACTGATTTGCTCAATTTTGTCATGCTTTTAGAATTTCTTAGCACATAACTTCTAGAAAACCAATTACTGAATCCATCTTGTAATGTTTCCAGCTTCCCCTTGCCCATGAATGACGGTGTATATCAGATACTGTATTCATGAGTTACTTGTATTAGTTCTGGTGGTTTTTTCTTCAAAAGTTACATTTCTTAAAACTTGCTTTCAGTTTTGGTTTTCCCTTATTGTTTGTAGCTTAACTATTTTGAAATATACAGAGTGTCAACCTGATTCTTAATATAATGCAAAAGTTACACTTAGGGAAGTCCAGTTCCTTCCTCAGTTCTTATCTTACAGGTAACCAAAGAAATTTTTTCTGATATTTTACCTTCTTCATTTCACAGAGTTAAGCACCTAATTTTCTCCTCCTCTTCCTCTTCTTCCTGTTCCTCCTCCACATCCTCCCTCTTCTTTCTCCTTTTTTCTTCTTATTTCCACTTCTTTACCCTGCCAGGTTTTTTTCTACCTAGCCTATATTCTGGAAGTTTCTCCTTGTCAGTCTAGGAGATCCTTTTTATTCCTTTTATAGGTCTGTGACGCAGTTGTTTATACCATATTACTGACTATAATTTACATTATATTACACCTTGCAATATGTACATAAAGTTATTTAACCAATATCCCATGTCTGAATATTTGTGCAGTGCTATTTTATAATTACAACTAACACCATAATGAGTAAGCGTGTGACCAGAATAAGGTCCAGCTGCTGACCCCACCACCAGCCAGTTAAGTTGAGAGCTGAGGTGTTGAGGCTAGGAATGTGACTTATTCAAAAGCCAGCTTCAACTAGTTCAACAAGAGAAAAGAGGCATTCAGTGTCTAACATCCTTGTTAGGAAGCTGACGTAGGTGCCTTACGTAGGTGGTGGGTGTGTCCTCCCAGGTGTACATATTGATTGCTTAGTCATGAGATAGTTTTCAGTTTCTGCAAGTATCCACAGCACAGAGAATTATTTCTCCAAGCAACTCCTGTCCCTGGTTAGCTATACGTTATACCATGGCCAGGCAGTGGTCAATGGGGAGTAGCTGCCTAGATGCCCTCTGCTGAACTGGTAATGAACAAGAGCACCCTTCATTAGGTAAAAAAATTCTCCCTCAACTATACACTTTGGCAATGGAACAAAATGTCCCCAATAGTTGGTCTCTCTCTTTTCTTTCTTTCTTTTAATTTCTTTTTCCTGCTTTGGTATTTGGAGTACTGAGGTTTGAACACATGGCTTTGCACTGAGCTACATCCCCAGCACTTTTCTTTTCTCTACTGTCTGGCTAAGTAGCTAAGTGTCTCAGACAGAACTTGAAATTGTGATCTTTCTACCTCAGCTTCCCAGAACTCTGGAATTATAGGCATGTGCCACTATACCCATCTTGGTTTCATATAT